GACCGCCTGATCGCCCTCGGCCACTCGCTGGTGGGCTGCATCGGTGCAGATAAACGGGATGGTCTTCTCCATGAACTCATCAAACTGCCCGCCGGCGTCGACGCGGCGGACGAGCGCTTCGTAGGGGGTAGTGGGCGCCGCAGGCGACGGCGCGCTCGCTTTGAAGGCCTGGCCGAACCGCCCGAGGAAGGCCGTCGCTTCGGCGAGGGTCAGCTGACCTTTTGCTGAGATCTCACCACGGAGAGACGTGTGGGCGGCCTCGCCGGCTGCCGCCTCCAGCGCCACTGCGAAGCTCTGAATCCGGACAGCCTCCGGCAGCATGGAAGCGCCGAGGGCCGGCATCTTGTCGCAAAGGCCTAGCACTTCGGCCGCCTCGACGGTACCAGCGGCCACTGACCCAGAGGCAGGCAGCTTGCGAAACATCTCGAGAGCAAACGGGGCTCCGAGAATCGAGACCGGCCTTGGCGCGGCAGGTCCGGCACCGCCCGTGTTGGGCGGGTCGGTCCGCGGCCGAGGAGCTGCGGCTGCCTGCTCGAAGGCAGTCTTCCAGTCCCTCCAACCCGGGTAGAATCGGGCAGTCTGACGAGCAGTGTATGTCTTTGTAGCATGCACGGACTGCTCCGCCTGCGTCGCGGCCGCGAGCTCGGCCGCCGAAGCGGTCAGGCCGAGCAGCCCCTTGATCAGCGGCGGCGCCAGCTGCTCTGCCAGATCCCTGCCAGTACCAGCATTCATGATCTTGACGGTGAATGAAGCGGCGCTTCCAGCAATCGACATCTGGGTACACACGACCATCTGACCTTGCGCGACCTCATCGTTGAGCGCTCGAGGAGCCGCAAGCACGAACCGCTCAGAAGGTTGTTGAAATCGACCATGGCGACTGGCGACTGAAATCAGAACCCAGAGCAGAGAGCTGGGACGAACGCGACGCACCTGCCAACGAGAAGTTGCGCCGACGTCCGTTCGTTACATCTCGCTGCACATGGGGAATATCACATACGGGGGCCAGAGGCAGGAGCTCGACTCGCCGCTCGGCCCTCAGCAGCGTGAAACCGAATCTGGGCGAACTTTGACCGGGGGCCACAGCACCACGAGCACGCAGCGACTCAAGCTCGTCCCGCCCTCGCGCCGGACGTTCATCAAGGCTTCCGCCAAGCCGGTCGCAAGCGGCGGCCTCGGTGCCCGCGTGTCCCTCAACTTCTCAATGTGCAAGCCGACGGCGCGGGTCGACGCGCCGATGGAGAAGGAGCCCGACGTCAAGGAGGCCCCGAGCCGCTTTTGGGCGGACTTCAAGTTCGATCCCTCGGCGCCGAAGCCGGAACCGGCCGCCGCCGCAGCCGCCTTGAAGATCGCGCCCAAGGCGAAGCAAGTGTCGGGCATCGTAATCGACGCGTACGCGCTGCGCGCAAAGGCGCTCTCTACGCGGCCGATCGCCCCGGGACCGGCGAGCTGCGAACCCTGGCCCTACCCTCCGCCCCGCCGCCTCCCAGCCCCGCCTCCCCCGCCACCCGCTCCCGTCGCCCCTCCCCTCCCTCCCACACTCCCTCCCACCCAGGATGCGGAGGACTTCCTGCCCGTGACCCGCAAGCTAGCCTACGCGCCCAAGCCCAAGCCCGACGCGGACGCCGCCGCCGGCGAGCACCGGCCCAGCCCCAACTCCTTTGCGCTCCTCACCACGGCCGACGAGGAGAAGACCGAGGAGAAGGGCGCGCCGCAGGCCGACATGAAGACTGAGGAGCCCCCGTCCTCCCTCGCCCCGCCCCTCCTCCCTCAACACTCTCAAGCTTCAGCCTTGTGCCTTTTGTGGCTGCACCGCACCTCTCCCTCCTCCGCGCACTCGCCCCGAGCGACGCCGCCCGCCCCCCCATAAAATACTGTAAAGTCGTAGTTACTGTGTTCCCCACTCTAACTAAGCATGCGCGACGCCGACTTCGACACGAAGCCTTGGCAGCCCGGGCAGGCCGTGTTTATCGGCTCCATACCGCGGCTCGTCTCGACCTCGCTGTCGTCGCTGAGCCAAGTGTGCAGGCAGCGGTAGTGGAAGAGGCTCTGGCAGCAGCGTGTGGCGCCCCAGCCATTAGGGTCGCGAGACTGCAGACGCGCCTCGGGGTGTGCGCTGAGGTCGTCCAAGCAAATAACGCACTCGAGGGCCTCCTCCTCTGCTGCTGTAGCCGCGGACACGCCCGCAACTGCGGCAGCCGCTTCCACCTCCATCTCCGACCCCTCCTCGCTGTCGCTCTCCGCCTCCACCTCCACCTCCACCTCGT